TTCTGACCGTTGTTGTAGATCTTCATTGTAGTTATATCCTTAGCACATAGTGAAGTTCAGGTGCAGATCTACAAAGTTTGGATTTAGCCAGCTGTGCTTGGCTTGGGTCTGGCTGCTCTACTCAGCTCCTTCCTGCTGCTGCCCTTGAGGGTGAACCTGTTGTGCCCCTGTGGCAAGATGTTCTGCTCCTGGAACAGAATTTGCCTAGTTCTGGGTGTGGCTGGGTGGCTTTATCCTCTACACTCTCTGCAGGGATTGTAGCTGCAGGGTTACACCCCAGGCATGTAAGCCAGGCCTGAGCTGAGCCTGGAGGGGACACGGTGGAGTAGGGGGGAGAGGCAGCTCTCCCACACACTCACTGGGTCTGAGCTAGGACTGGGTCTGGGTGTTCCCGGAAGGAAGCAGAAATTCCTACTCGGCGGGTGGGGTGGGAGAAGTGCTGAATGGTGGGGGGCATCCCAAGGGGGTGGAAGAAGGTCTCACCCATGCTGCGCCTGGGCTGGGACTGGTCCCACCGGCGCAGGGTAGCTGGAAGCTCTCCCACACACTCACCAGACCTGGGCTAGGAATGGGTCTGGAGGTTCCCAGAACACAGCAGAAATTCCTACTCGGTGGGCAGGGTGGTAGAGGTACTGCGGAGGGGTGGGGGGGGTCCCAAAGGGGTGGAAGATGGTCTCACCCACGCTGCACCTGGGCTGGGACCCGTAGTAGGTTCAGCCGGCGCAGGGTTGCCGGAAGTTCTCCCCTTGTTCATCTTTCAATGGACATATAGGCCACTTCCAAGATTTAGCTACTATGAATTTTACTGCCGTAAGCACAGATATCCTTGTGTTCTGGCTTGTATTTAGATGTCTCTCCACTGCCTCATGCACTCATAGATGGGGCTTTTTGAAACTGGCTGAATCTAGGGCATGTGATACTGGGATTAGGAGTATGTGATACTAAGTTAGTCCATCAATGAGAATTTGCCTAGTTCTGGGTGTGGCTGAATGGATTTACTGAAAACAGAAGCCTCATCCTGGTGTGGGTGTCACCATCCCAAAGATTTTTAGCCTGGATGGGATAAAAAGGAAAGGCAGGCTTGCTGATGCTCTTGCTGCTGCTGCTGCTGCTGCTGCTGCTGCTGCTGCTGCTGCTGCTGCTGCCGCTGCTGCCACCACTGCTGCTGCTGCTGCTGCTGCTCCCTACCTTCTGCTTGCCATGCCATAGACTGTTTTTCCTCTGTGATGTCTCTCTGCCAAGTTGACTTGCTTTGGAGCCAACTCCTTTAACCTGGTGTCTGGTATTTTTGTCTCAGCAATGAGAATAGTATGTAAGATACCATGTTTCAATGTAATATGTTTTTAACTCTTTCAGGAATATGCCTAGAAGGCTGTGGAGATAGCTCAGCAGTCTAAGCACCTTCCTGGCAAGCACAAGGACCTGGCTTCAATCCCCAGTATCACAAGCCATGCTGGCCCTGGAATCCCAGGTGCACTGTGTAGGTCACCAAAACCAGATGTGGTAGCACATGCCTGTAACCCCAGCTCTGGGGAGACTGAGCCAGAAGGATCACTACAAGTCCAAGCTGCATAGTGAGATCCTGTACCAAAAAAATAAATAGTTTTTTTAAAAGGAATATGCCTAGAGGAGGGGATAGCTAGGCCAAATATAATTTCTACTTTTATTTTTTCGAGACCTCTCCATACTGATTTCCATTATGGTTTTGCTAGTTTACATTTCTACCAAAAATGTGCAGGGTTCATTTCCCTTCTCAGTCTGTCAAGCATTTGTTATTCTTTTGGTTTTTGGTGATGGCCATTCTTATGGACTAAGATGAAATGTAATTGTTGTTTAAATTTATATTTCTCTAATGAACAGTTTTAGGGGTATTTATTAGCCATTTGTACTCCTGAAAAGTACCTATTCATTTCAGTTGACGTTTTTTCCTCTGTATTTTAGGGAAGGGTCTACAGGGTGTTCAGGGTCTCACTACTAGATTGAATTCATAGTGATGCACCTGTTTACGCCTCCCAAGAGCTGGGATTACAGGTGCACACCACCATGCCCAGTCTCAATTGTGGTCTCAGCGTGCCCCAGGGGCAGGGCTGGCATGGCAGGCCCTGGGATTGAACCCCTGGCCCCTGAACCTGCTTGAAGTTATTTTCATCTGCTGAGCTATTTGGCCAGCCCTTAGCTGACCATTTTTTATTGCATTGAGGAGGGCTATGTTTTTCAGTTCACTGGCAACATTTTCCATATTCTCTTGGTTGTCTCTTTATATTCTTGGTTGGTCTCTCCATTGTGAAGAAACTTTTTAATCTGATGTGATCTCATTTGTTGATTCTTCCTTTTCTTTTCTTTTTTTTTTCTTCTGGATTGAACTCAGGACCTTGCACTTGCCAGGCAGTAATTTATTCTACTGAGCTATCTCCCTGGCCCCTCATTTGTTGATTCTTGATGTTGTTTTGTTGTTGTTGTTCATTTGGGATTGTGCTCCAGAGTTCTTGCCCAACCCTATGTCTTCAAGACTTTCACCTACTCCATCTTTCAGCAGGTTAGAGGTTTCTGTTTGGACATTTAAATCTTTGATCTATTTTGATTTAAGTTTAGTACATGGTGCATGATACAGGCCTAGGTTCAATCTTTTGCATGTAGGTAAACCAGTTTTTCCAGCATCATTTGTTAAAGAGGCTGTCTTTTCTCCAGTGAATATTTTTGGTCCCTTTCTCAAAAATCAGACAGCTGAACGTACCTGGGGCTGTTTCTGTATTCTCTATTCTGTTCCATTGATCCTCGTGTCTACTTTAGGCCACTGCTGCACTGTTTAGTCACCATGACTTTGTAACATAACTTACTGAACTACCAATTTCATCTTTATGAAATTTGCACATAGATTTATCATGCCTGTCCTTCATCAAGTACTTTCTGTCCCAAAGAAATTATGGGTCTATCTATGTTGCTTTCCTGAGTCTCCAAACCACTGTGGGCAGCCCGAGAGGAATGGGTTCATGAGACACCTAGAATACTCCAGGATTTATTCTTGAAAACTAGGGTACCAGAAAACACACTGTGTCTAGTGCCAAGAGCCTAGGAAAGCCATCCATGTGAACTCACTGTTTTCTCCCACCCTGATCCTGCCAGTGCTTATACCATAAGGACACCTAGGCGAGGTTCTTCAGGATAATGAGGCCTCATTTTCACGACCTCCTAAATCTAGCAATACCTACAATGTGAGTTCAGATTCTCTTATCACTCACTGGTGATTGGCCTCCAAGCCTTCTAGGTCTCATCCTTTAATCTGTCTGGGAAACAAAATATGCCTTCAGAGATGACCCAGACCTCTGCGCACATATCAAAGTGCTCCCCACTTCAGAATCGTCTCAGAATACAGGACGCCCTCTCCCACAAGTGAATCAGGGAAACAGCTGCTTCTCTTGTGATAAAGGATCTAAGGTGCATTCTCTTTGGGCCCAACCTATTAACCAGAGTCTGTGCCCAGGAACAAGTAAAGGTCGCCCCATCTCTGATTCCCTGCTGTCCCTTGTCTGTACCTGCCATTGTCACCTAGCCAGCATCACTGTTATCGTACATGAGAGCTCATTTTGCTGAGCTCTTAACTGCTCTGCTGAACATTTCATGGAAATAATCTAATTAAATTTCCCTTTTCCTCTGATGAAAGTACTAGCATTATCCACACTATAGAGGTAAGAAAACTGAACACAGAGAGGTTAACTGACTATCCGGGTGGCAGAGCAAAGATATCAACTTAGGCGTGCTGGGTTCCAAGTGCCTGTACTACCTTTTCTTTTCTGCTCACAGTTTGACATTTCTTCCTCAGACCCTCATGTAAGGTAGAATGACATATTAGAGTTATAGTCTGCAGTTAGTCAACTTCACCCCTCTTTTCATACTCTTCATAGACATTCGTTCACATGACACCCTTACTTCCTCCCTTAGATGTGGGGTAGTCATGGCTCTAAGCTAGATTAGCTCCCAAGGGCCACCCGCCAACATGGTGGAGACCCAGCAGAGCAGACAAACATCCTGCTGAGGGAAACCTATATCTAGCAGCTGAGTTCTTACAAGGCCACCTTGGTGTAAAACAAATATTTCTCATGCATAGAAGCAACCATCCCTTGGGTTTCATTAAGCCATGTAACCTCAAGGCTCCCCACACCAGAGTTTTTATAAAATAATTTACATATTTTTATGGAATCATTTGCTCTTGCAGTCATTGCTGCTAAAGCAATAGGAAGCTGTGACAGCAATAGGACACTGTTACTCCAGTGTATGAGTGAATAATGCTATTGGTGTTTTACTACCCAATTGTTTCAAGAATGAAAAGGATGCATTTGTCTGCTTATGTCAGCCTTAGAACAGTGCTGTCTCAAAGCTTTTATCTTTCAGTCTTTCTTTCCATCTTCTTATTTTCATTTTTTTCTTGCAGAAGTGAAAGTAGAGGCAAAGACAAAAGTTGCTGAGCCAGGGCCTCACATTCTCAGTGTGCAGAGAGTCTACATTCAGACCAGGGTGGAGAAGCGGATCAACCTGACCATCGGTAGCAGAGCCTACTTGCTGCCCAACACCTCTGTGATCATTAAATGCCCCGTGCGACGCTTCCAGAGAGCTCTGATTCGGTGGGAGAAGGATGGTCAGTGTCTGCAGAACTCCAAACGACTCAGTATCACCAAGTCGGGTTCATTGAAAATCCACAACCTTGCAGCCCCTGACATTGGTGTGTACCGGTGCATTGCAGGCTCCGCCCAGGACACAGTTGTCCTCAAGCTCATTGGCACAGACAACCGGCTTATTGCACATCCAGCCCTCAGACAGCATGGGAAGGAGCAGCCCGGGCCTGACCACCCAGAGGCCAGTAGCTTGGGAGCTACTTGGCATAAAATGAGGCAGATGTGGGGCAACAAAAATGAGCTGCACCTGCCTGATGGTCAAATTACTAACCAGTCTTTCTTAAGAGCTTTGTTTGGCCATTGCAGCAATCCCGCAGGCAACACCAACTCCTGGGAGTTTAAAAACAAGCAGTTTGAAGCTGCTGTCAAGCAGGGAGCTTACAGTATGGAAACAGTCCAGTTTGAGGAGCTGATGAGAAGCATGAGCCAGCTCATGGAGGCGGGGGAGGTGAGCGAAGACCTCGCCTCGCAGGTGATTTATCAGCTGGTGGTTGAGTTGGCACTGGCAAAGGTGCAGCCCACGCCCGCACAGTGGAGGGGTGTCCAGGAGGAGCCCCCACCCTCCACTCCACTCAGAGGCCAGACAGGGAGTGTACCTCAGAGCACAAGTGTGAAAGGTCCAGGCTGGCTGACATTTAAGCCCAAAGGACCTGTTCTCATGAGGCAAAGCCAACCCCCTTCAGTTTCATTCAATAAAACAATCAATCTAAGGATTGGAAACACCGTGTACATTACAAAAAGGACAGAGGTCATTGACATCCTCTGTGACCTTGTTACCCCCAGCGAGGTCACATACACATGGACCAAGGATGGAGCACTGTTACAGCCTTCAGTAAAGTAAGTAAGATGAGAACACAGTGTTTGTTTTTGTAGTTCCTTCCTCAAGGCTATGCTAGTTTTCTGGAAAATACTTTGGAGCTTCTCCTAAGAATATGTTTCCAACTAAAATGGCCATGAAAAATGTTAGCAATTTTCTTCACTTATGTATTGGAATTTCTTAAAGTACAATGTTATCCTAATTACTAGCATATTGACATAAAAGTATGTATAAAAAAGTGTATAGTCTCTCTTTTTCTCAAATTTTATTGGAAAGACCAAAAAAGTAAAACAAAATAAGATAATAGGAGAATAACAATGGTTAATCATTACATACTATTATCATTAAATTAGCTACTCAGAGTAAATATGTGGGCATTTAATTGTCTGTAGGGATCCGTTGAACTTATTATGAATGGTTCTACCCAGGGAGACAGGGCAGCAGGAATGAGAAGGATAGACAAGAAGACAAAAGCTGGGCTAGGTGGTTGCCAGTCTGCCTTATGGGCAAGACTCATGCACCAGCACAAAGAAACCTACGTTTATTTATACCTTTGCAAAGTTAGCAACATGTGACACAAGGTTGCCTAGTGACTAGTAGCCAACATTAAACGGTCAGGATGCTTATCTCAGGACTGAGGTGGCTTGTTTGCTTTAGGCACTGAGACCTAGTCCCACCTACACACCTCTGACTGATTTTGCAGCTTCTGTGGCTTCCTACAGTTGTCGTAACAATCTTAGCACAAACCTTTCTTTTCAACAAAGTAAAAGAAATTGGTAACATA